CTCCCTTGGAATTGGAAAAGTTTGAAATTTCCCGATCTCTGGGTGGAATCTTTTTTTTTGGGGGGGGGGGCTCTCTGTTTGCAATGTGAGGAGCCCTAAGACACCTGTGGGGGTGCAGGGCTCCCCAAAACTGAAGAAGGGGGGCTGTGATGGCCCAGCCGAGGCCCCTCCCTCCTTCCTGTCCGTCACTGACCTTCATATCAAAGGGGGGGGATTGGAAGCTGCTCCCCCGGGGGAAAAGTGCTAATTTAATTCCTTTTTTTTTAAATTATCCTCTTTTTTTTGTTTAATAAACAGAATCTTTTTTTTTAAGGGACATTAAACTTGGTTTGCACAGGGAGATTGGGCCAAGCCCTGGAGAATGGAAGAGAAGTATTGGGAGGACACTGTGGGAACGTTCACAAAATGGCTGCCCCCTTGGGGGTATAACTTGCCACGGCTACTGATGTCCAGACAAAGGACAGGTGGTGTTGCTGCCATCCTCTTCCCCTTTTAAAGGATCTGAAAAATACTTCCAAGGCCAGCCAGGCAAAGCAAGAGCCAGGAAAGGCCATTAATGTAATTCTGCCTCTACTTCAGGGGTCTTCAACCTTGGCCCTTGGATGACTTGTGGACTTCAACTCCCAGAATTCCTCAGCCAGGTCCACAAGTCATCAAAGGATCATAGTTCCCTCACGCTGGCTGAGGAATTCTGGGAGTTGAAGTCCGCAAGTCATCAAAGGATCATAGTTCCCTCATGCTGGCTGAAGAATTCTGGGAGTTGAAGTCCGCAAGTCATCAAAGGATCATAGTTCCCTCATGTTGGCTGAGGAATTCTGGGAGTTGAAGTCCGCAAGTCATCAAAGAATCATAGTTCCCTCACGCTGGCTGAAGAATTCTGGGAGTTGAAGTCCGCAAGTCATCAAAGGATCATAGTTCCCTCACGCTGGCTGAGGAATTCTGGGAGTTGAAGTCCGCAAGTCATCAAAGGATCATAGTTCCCTCACGCTGGCTGAGGAATTCTGGGAGTTGAAGTCCGCAAGTCATCAAAGGATCATAGTTCCCTCACGCTGGCTGAGGAATTCTGGGAGTTGAAGTCCGCAAGTCATCAAAGGATCATAGTTCCCTCATGCTGGCTGAGGAATTCTGGGAGTTGAAGTCCGCAAGTCATCAAAGGATCATAGTTCCCTCATGTTGGCTGAGGAATTCTGGGAGTTGAAGTCCGCAAGTCATCAAAGAATCATAGTTCCCTCACGCTGGCTGAAGAATTCTGGGAGTTGAAGTCCACAAGTCATCAAAGGATCATAGTTCCCTCACGCTGGCTGAGGAATTCTGGGAGTTGAAGTCCGCAAGTCATCAAAGGATCATAGTTCCCTCACGCTGGCTGAAGAATTCTGGGAGTTGAAGTCCGCAAGTCATCAAAGGATCATAGTTCCCTCATGTTGGCTGAGGAATTCTGGGAGTTGAAGTCCACAAGTCATCAAAGGGTCCTAGTTCCCTCACCCTGACAGGAATTCTGGGAGTTGAAGTCCACAAGTCATAAAAGGGTCATACTTCCTTCACACTGGCTGAGGAACTCTGGGAGTTGAAGTCCACAAGTCAAAAGGGTCTTAGTTCCCTCACGCTGGCTGAGGGATTCTGGGAGTTGAAGTCCGCAAGTCATCAAAGGGGGCATAGTTCCCTCATGCTGGCTGAGGAATTCTGGGAGCTGAAGTCCACAAGTCATCAAGGGCATAGTTCCCTCACGCTGGCTGAGGAATTCTGGGAGTTGAAGTCCACAAGTCATCAAAGGGGGCATAGTTACCTCACGTTGGCTGAAGGATTCTGGGAGTTGAAGTCCGCAAGTCATCAAAGGGGGCATAGTTCCCTCATGCTGGCTGAGGAATTCTGGGAGTTGAAGTCCAGAAGTCATAAAAGGTTCAAGTTTGAAGACCCCTGCTCTACTTCCCTGCACCAAGGTGGAGAATCACCAGTTATGCTTTTTTTCCTCTACCCTCCTCATCCCACCAGCCTCTAATTAATATCTACCTACGAAAACATCCAACGTATTCAGAGAATGGAAGCAAGTTAAAACATCCCAAGAACCATGACATTCTCTCCGGGTCTAGACAAGCCCAGATGAGCAGGGATTCCAGCCGGGAAGGATGGGTGTTGTGGTCCGACCTCCAGGCTGATCCAACGGAGAGAAATCCCACCTTTCAGGATGGGGGGGGGATGCCGGCATACAGGAAGTCCTCCATTTACAACCTCTAGCTTAGTGATCCATTCGAAGTTGTGACTGACTGGAAAGGGGGGACACTTTCTCTCCCCCCCCCCCGTCTTCTTACCCAGCCAACCCTAACCCTAGCCAGGTGGGGGATTCTGGGAGTTGAAGTCGACCCACCTTCAAAGTTTCCAAGGTTGAAAAAAATACCCTTAAAATTCAGAGGTGAAAAGACATGAAAATGTGAAGGGAACAGCGACACCTTGTGGCCCAACCGTGATATAACGGATACAGATGATAATAATAATAAAGTTGGAAGGGACCTTGGAGGTCATCTAGTCCAACCCCCTGCTCGGGCAGGAAACCCTATATACCATATAGATTTTTTAATTATTTTTTTTCCTTAGAGGGGCAATCCTGAGTTTTAACAGAATAATAGAATAGATTCTGTTATTCTGTTAAGAACAAGTTTCCCCTTCTAGGCAGGAGGAAAAAAATCTCTGTACGCTGCCAGAGGCAATGCATCCATGCCCGCTTCTCTAACAAGAAGCCCCTCCCACCCACTCAAATCTGTAGGGGGGGGCGAGTTATTGAACAGAATGCCAGCATACCCACCGTCAGCCATATTCCTGGATTTTGAGTCGCACGTCGGGCTAAACTTTGATTAGGCGTTAAGTCAACAGCTGGGCTGATGCAGCCTCACCTTCCATCCTAGTTTGTTGAACCGTGGCTTGTTGAACCAGCCACAGCTGGCTGGGCTCGCCTATCCCTCTAAGCCGTACATTATAGGTTGCAAGGGCGGAGACCCCCCCCTCCAAGCGCGACAGGCTTTGTGCAACGGTGCGAGCTGTTTGATACCCCCAGGTGACCTTTGCAATTTGGAAAGGAGGGAATCGGACAGAAAAAAAATGACTTTTATTGAGTTAGAAATAAGAATTTGTTCCAGCCAGTGCTTGGAGATGGAAAGACATGTTGGGTTTTATCTCGGAGAGCGACAATGAAAAGGGTGGGGGGGGGGTCCAGGCAGGGGATCAGGGCCAGCAGCCCAGAGGAACGAGCCAGGCGACATCCTTGCAAGCCCTGGGTGGGCTTTTGTCTCGAAGAAATTCTTTTTCCGCCCCAGAGAGGCCTCGTCACAAACAGGAAGACGGCAATCCGTGGCAATCTGGGGTCCCGGCCCCACGGCTCGTATCGGACCCCGGGAAGGATGCAAGTCGGTGCGTGGGTCAGGCTGAATCGGCCTGTTAAGTAAAGACAGGATGGATAAATAAATATGGATTGTTTGGTGGAAAGAAGAAAAAAAAAGAACAATTTGGAAAGGGGAAAAAGCTGGACGGCGACACTTTCCAAAGGGTTTGGGATCAGCCTGTCCCAAGTTTCCATCTGGCAGGGCTGCTCCCTCTTGGGCCGCCCTCTGAGACCCCCCGCCCCGGTCCCACCCTGGTGGATCCTGAGAAAGCCAATCGGATCAGCTCTGGATGGGATCCAGGACCAGGGAGGGAAGGAGATGTGGGGAAAAAGTTGGCAGCAAAGTGTTTCCATATTTAATCTGCTCAGGGGGGGCTGCAGGGAAGGGTCAAGGAATCCAAGTGGTCAGGACATACAGTATTGCCGGGGGGGGGGGTCCTTGGTGCTCTCTGAGCTTGGGGGGAGGGGTGTTCTTGCAGACGTTTCATGACCCAACTAGGGAACATCATCAGCGCTAGAAGGGAATGGAGTTTACAGGGAGGAGGAGGAGGAGGAGGAGGAGGAGGAGGAGGAAGACTGTGGGATGCTTGTTTTCTTGCAGATGTTTCATGACCCAAATTAGGGAACATACATGAGGGTTAGCACTGATGATGTTCCCTAGTTGGGTCATGAAACGTCTGCAAGGAAACCATCAAGCTGAGACAGCACCAAGGACCTCTCAGTCCTCCTCCTCTTCCCTCCTCTGCTCCTTCCTTCCTTCCTTCCTTCCTTCCTTCCTTCCTTCCTTCCTTCCTTCCCTTCCATCCATCCATCCATCCATCCATCCCATCTTTTTCCTTTTCCCTTCTTTCTTTCTTTCCTTCCTTCCTCCCTCCTTCCTTCCCTTCCATCCATCCATCCCATCTTTTTCCCTTTCCCTTCCTTCTTTCCTTCCTCCCTCCCTCCCTCCTTCCCATCCATCCATCCATCCATCCATCCATCCCATCTTTTTCTTTTTCCTTTTCCTTTCCTTCCTCCCTCCCTCCCTTCCTTCCCTTCCATCCATCCATCCCATCTTTTTCCTTTTCCCTTCTTTCCTTCCTCCCTCCCTCCCTCCTTCCTTCCTTCCTTCCTTCTTATCCATCCATCCATCCATCCCATCTTTTTCCTTTTCCTTTTCCTTTTCCTTTTCCTTTTCCTTTTCCTTTTCCTTTTCCTTTTCCTTTTCCTTTTCCTTCCTTCCTTCCTTCCTTCCTCCTCCCTGCAAACCCTTGGAGAAAGGCAGGGTTAGGCGTCATCACCACACACGAAGCCAGAAGAGGGATTGCACAAAACACACACAACTGGGTCAGTGTTCATTTGGGGGGGGGGTTTTCTCCCCATCCACGAGCCCCTGCTTTCTGCACAGCTGGAGCCCGAAGGACCCCCAGGAGAGGGAGGCCGGGGTCTCAAGAAGGGCTGAACCACGGCCAGACCCCTCGGAGCTGGCAGGGGAGACCGGAGGGGCACCACCGCAGGATGGGCCAGCTCCTGCGGCTCCAGGGCTGCCCAGCAAAGCCCCAGCCCCCTCCCCAATCCCCAAAGACCGGCTCTGGGGCCCCCAGTGCCAAGCCAAAGGCCGGTGGTCCCCCCTCCCCTGCCCAGCTTACCCTCAGCATCCGAGGCCGCTGAAGGTGCCGATCCGGTCCAGCTTGATGCCGAAGCAGCCCATCTGGGCCGCCTTCTGAGCCCGTCCTCGGAGCCTCCGCGGCTGGGTCCTGGCCATCTCCCGGAGGAGGGGAAGCCAGGGGTGCTCGGGGGGCAGAGTTGGAGGCCTGGGGGGAGGGTGCCCACCTAAGGGTGGGGGCGAGGAGCCGAGGGGGGGCGAAGGGTCCCCCGCTTCACGTCCCGACAGCAGAATGGCGAGGTCCGAGCCGAGGATTTCCAGCATCAGCTGTTGAATAAAGGAAGATGTTGGGGCGCCATCAGCCACAGCCCCCCCGAAGGACCCCCCCCGTGCCCTGCAAGGGTGCCCTTACCTGGGGAGAGCCGACAGGGCTCTGGGACGCTGGCAGGAGGAGGCAGAGGAAGAGGAGGAGAGGCTGGGGGTCCATGGTGCCTTGGGGTTATCCAGCAGGTAGACTGCCTTGGTCCAGGGAGGAAGGGCGAAGGGGCGAAGGGGATTTGCCTCTGGCTTCCCCAGGGCTCTCGCTGGAGCTTTATAGGGGTGCTCGACCCCCCCATGTCCCCTGGCAACGGTGCGCTGGGGAGGGCAGGGCCTGGGGAGGGGGTTCGGCCCCCCTGTGAATCAGCCAGGGAGTGAGTTATGGGCAAAGGGGGACAAAGCAACAGGAACAGGGGGGTGGTGGTGGAAACTGGGAAGAAAGAAAGAAGAAAGAAAGAAAGAAAGAAAGAAAGAAAGAAAGAAAGAAAGAAAGAGAAAGAGAAAGAGAAAGAGAAAGAGAAAGAGAAAGAAAGGAAAGAAAGAAAGAAAGAAAGGAAAGAAAGGAAAGAAAGAAAGAAAGAAAGAAAGAAAGAAAGAAAGAAAGAAAGAAAGAAAGAAAGAGGGAGGGAGGGAGAGAGGGAGGAAGATAAGGGAAGGAAGGAAGGAAGGAAGGAAGGAAGGAAGGAAGGAAGGAAGGACAGTGAGAACAATTAACCAGTGGAACTACCTGCCTCCAGAAGTGGTGAATGCTCCAACACTGGAAGTTTTTAAGAAGAGACTGGATGGCCATCTGTCTGAAATGGTACATAGGGTTACCTGCATGAGCAGGGGGTTGGACTTGATGACCTCCGAGATCCCATCCAACTTTATTATTATTTATTATTATTATTATTATTATTATTATTATTATTATTATTAATTATTAAGGAAGGAAGGGAAGGAAAGGGAGGGAGGAAGAAGACGGAAGAAAGGAAGAGAAGGGAAGGGGAAGGGAGGGAGGAAGAGGAAGGAAGGAAGGGGGACGAAGGAAACCATCCCTCTCAGCTTGGCCTACCTCACAAAGTTGTGGTTTTGGAGATAAAAATGAAGTTACAGGTGGTCCTCGACTCGCGAACACAACTGAGCCCAACCTTTCCCGTCGCTAAGCGAGTCGGCCGCTAAGCGAACCCTGCCCTGTTTGGCGACTTTCCTTGCCACGCTCGTTAAGCGGTTCTTAAGAAAGTAAGCCTTTCCTTAAGCGAACCTGGTTCCCCCATTGACTTCGCTTGTCGGAAGGTCGCCAAAGGGGATTGTTATCTCACACACACACAAACACAAACACACACACACACAGAGGACATTGCAACGGCCATAAGCAGAAGTCAGTTGCCAAACGCCTGAATTTTGATGGGGGGGGAAAGGCCGCAGAAACGGTCATATAAGTGTGAAAAACGGTCATAAGTCACATTTTTTTCAGCACCATTGCAAGGCTCGGGGGGGGCAGAAAGGGGGCTGGCAGTGGGGGGGGGAAGTCCCCCCTTCCAGACAAGAGACCGGCCTGTCTGTGCCGGGGGCCGCCCAGCCTATCCCCTCCCTCCCTCCCTGTCCCCCCCCAACAAAAGCCCCCCAGCCCTGGATCTTTGCAGGGTCCCCAAGGGGGGGGAGAAGGAGCCAAGGGGGGCTCTCAAGAGAAAGGGGGGGGTCACAGGGCACATTCCTGGCACCGGAGGAGGGATTCCTCGGCCAACGAGCCATTCAGCCTCCCGGGCTTGACGTCATCCCCAGCCTTTCTTCAATGGGAACTGGGGGGCCCTTTCGCCCCCCACCCTCGACTCCAAAGCCGGGAGTCTGTGGGACGACAAGCCCCTTCTGTGGGTCGAGGGGGCATCCGCGTCAGAGAGGGCAGCCCTGCCAGGGGAACAAAACAGCCGGGCACCCCCCCCACCCCAACATCCCAAGAAGCGGAGCAATTCAGAAAGTGGGGGGCTTTGAGCGGGTGGGGGGGAGGATTTGGAAGCGTTAGAGAGGAGACTTATTGCTGGCAGAGAGGCAGACGGGGGGGGGGGGTCGGTTTATTCCACCGATACTTACAAAGGCTCAATAAGGCCACATCTGGAATCCTGCACCCAGTTTTGGTCACCCACAAATTACAAAAAAAAAAGGTTTGAGATTTTGGGAAAAAGTGCAAAGAAGAGCAGCTAAGATGATTAAAGATTGAAGACTGAAACATAATAATAATAATAATAATAATAAAAATAATAAAAATAATAATAATAATAATAATAATAATAATAATAATAATAATAATAATAATAATAATAATAATAATAATAATAATAATAATAATAATAATGTTGGAAGGAACCTTGGAGGTCATCTAGTCCAACCCCCTGCTCAGGCAAGAAACCCTATACCATTTCGGACAAATGGCTGTCCAGTCTCTTCTTAAAGATCTCCAGTGATGGAGAAAGATAGGAGGGAGGGAAGAAGGAAGGAAGGAAGGAAGGAAAGAAAGAATAACCAAGGTGGAAGGGACCTTGGAGGTCATCTAGTCCAACCCCCTGCTCAGGCAGGTAACCCTATACCATTTCGGACAAATGGCTGTCCAGTCTCTTCTTAAAAACTTCCAGTGTTGGAGCATTCACCGCTTCTGGAGGCAGGTTGTTCCGCTGGTTAATTGTTGGTACAGATGAACAACGGCTGTGGGATTTAGCCAGTCTAGAAAAAAAGATGACATAAGGCCACATCTGGAATCCTGCACCCAGTTTTGGTCACCCACAAAGTACAAAAAAAAATATTGAGATTTTGGAGGGAAAGTGCAAAGAAGAGCAACTAAGATGATGAAAGGCCTGGGAGACTGAAACAGAGGAACAACGGCTGTGGGATTTAGCTTGTCTAGAAAAAAGGAGGACTAGTAGCAGCGTTCCAGTATTTGAGAGGCTGCCCCAAAGAAGAGGGGGGTCCACCTCTTCTCCGAAGCATCAGAAGGCAAGACAAGAAACAACAGGTAGAAACTAAATCAAGGAGAGAAGCAACCTGGAATGAAGGAGAAACTTCCTAACAGTGAGGACAATTAACCAGTGGAACAACTTGCCACTAGAACGGATGGATGCTCCGTCGCTGGAGGTTTTTAAGAAGAGACTGGACAGCCACTTGTCTCAAATTGTGTAGGGTCTCCTGCTTGAGCAGGGGGGGGTGGACTAGAAGGCCTCCAGGGTCCCTTCCAGCTCTATTCTGAGTGATTTGCCATTACCTCCTACCTAGGGCCGAGAGAAAGTGGCTGGCCCAAGGCTGTCCAGCCGGTTTTGCGTCTAAGCCGGGACTAGAACTCACAGCCGCCCAGTTTGCCTCAGTCACAACACCAAACTGGCTTTTAGGAGCAAGGAGGAATAAATGTGGTCCCAAAAACAGAAGCGCTCCGGTACATTCAGAGAACGTTGTGCTCAAATTAAACCAGATCAAACTGGACCCCTGAAAAGAATTTATACTCTACATACAGGAAGTCCTCGGCTTACAACAGTTCATTTAGTGACCATTCAAAGTTACAACGGCCCTGAAGAAAGTGACTGAGGACCGTTTTTCACACTTAACCACTGTTCCAGCCTCCCCGTGGTCACGTGATCAAAACTCGGACGCTGGGCAAGTGACTCGTGTTTATGACCCTGGGGGGGGGGTCACGCGATCCCCTTTTGCGACCATCTGACAAGCCAAGTCAGTGGGGAAGATTCGCTTAATAACCAGTGACTGACTTACTAACTGCAGTGGTTGATTTAACAACCGTGACGAAGGTCATAAAATGGGGGCAAGATTCACTTCATAAATGTCTCGCTTTACAACAGACATTTGAGGCTCAACCGTGGTCGTATGTCAATTTGATGACTGGTGGACTTCAACTCCCAGAATTCCTCAGCCAGCGTGAGGGAACTAGGACCCTTTGATGACTTGTGGCTGAAGAATTCTGGGAGTTGAAGTCCACAAGCAGGGGTCTTCCAACTCGGCCCTTTGATGACTTGAGGACTTCCAGAATTCCTCAGCCAACGTCAGGGAAGTAGGACCCTTAGATGACTTGTGGACTTCAACTCCCAGAATTCCTCAGCCAGCGTGAGGGAACTAGGACCCTTAGATGACTTGTGGACTTCAACTCCCAGAATTCCTCAGCCGGCGTGAGGGAACTAGGACCCTTTGATGACTTGCGGACTTCAACTCCCAGAATTCCTCAGCCAGGCACGTTGAAGTCCACAAGTCATAAAAGGGTCCTAGTTCCCTCACGCTGGCTGAGGAATTCTGGGAGTTGAAGTCCACAAGTCATAAAAGGGTCCTAGTTCCCTCATACTGGCTGAGGAATTCTGGGAGTTGAAGTCCACAAGTCATCAAAGGGCCAAGTTCGAAGACCCCTGGAGTAGAAGATCCATTCCTGCTCTGCTCCCTACACCCCCTCCCCGCCCTCCCCAGCAAATATTGTCCAGGTGGATTATTATTATTATTTTTAAAAAAAGCACGCAAAAAGCTTTCCAAAATGGCAAGCGATGCTATCCACCTTTACGACGTTCCTCTTCGTCCTTAACCCGGAGAAAGAAACGCAGAGCTGAGTGGGAGAAAGGCAGCCCAGCAACGCCTCCCTTCAACACAGCGCATGAATAAGCAACAATAAACACAACTTATCCCCACAACGCCCCCCCAAGGCTTTTTCTTTCTTTCTTTCTTTTTTTTGGGGGTAATGTAAACTTCTGAGGTTGGGCAGCCAGCTTAGAAACCTCAACAAAGCCGGGCTTAAATAGCGTCGGCCTTCAACTGCGGGAAAACGCCACCGCATGGCAACCGAGACGGGTAACCCGACACAGTTTTGCATTTGTCACACTGTCTTTAAACAACAACAAAAAAAAAAGCACAACAAAAGACTTTGCATTACTGAAGGGGAGAGGAAAACCTGGGAACGGAAACAGGTTTAGTCCTTAAGGCCTCAACGGAGCCCAAGGTTTCCGTTGCGAAGTGAATTTTGCCGTTTTACGACCTTCCTTGCCCCAATTGCTGCAGTTGTTTTAAGTTAGCAACACGGCGGTTAAGTGATTCCGGCTTTCCTATGGGCTTCAAAGGACGTCGCGAAAGGGGATCACGTGACCCCGGGACACTGCAACCGTCGTAACTACGAGTCGGTTGCCAAGCGTCTGGGCTTTGATCACGTGGACCACA